AGTGTTTGCACATGCTGTGACAAGTAGTTTCTAGTGTCAGATAAGAAAGTTCTTCTGAACACGAAGTAGTTGTTCTCTTAGACTTCGGTTGACTTTTAGTTTTGAAATTAGTGTTCAGTTGACGAACTTGTATAGCTAAGTCGGTGAAGGGGATAGCGCACCGCCCGCCCAAGCGGCTAGGGAGCCAACAAACTCTCCACGGATTTTCGCGAAGCGAACTTGCGCTTCGTCAGCTGCTCAGTCGAGCGATCCGTCTTTGGAGGAGAATTCGGACAACCGCGAAGATCCTGAGATCGAGGTCTGCTCAGACTCTGATCTTCCCCAAATGGAATCCGAAGTAGATTCTGACGGCGATGGTGGGACTGTCAGTAGTAGTGATGCGAGTCAGGAGCGTTTACCTGTTGAAACTATCGCAGATGACGACGTTGTGACTGTCACAAATGTGGCTGGTGGTACTGCTACGCAGCAAAGTTACTCGGATGCCGTTGATGCAGCTATTGGCGGTGCAACTCTCAGCGATGCAGAAAAGCGCTACATACTTGGGAACCGGAAGCCTGATAAGCAGACGGTGTTGCCATCTAGGCCTAGGGATTATCCCGACAGCCGCCGAAAGACCGGTACTGTCCCGTTTCCTACATACATTGCATCGACAAGGATCAACCCAAGGTGAATACCTCATCATCCATTCTTACTGCTGGACATGGCCATCCCTTCTTCGTGAGAGTTACTGGTGACCGCACTCGGGGAGCAGCACATCACCTCGTTCGAGTACCATTTTGGCCCGGTCCTGCGGGCCGAGCGACCATGCAGTTCATCGGCGCAGTCCTGTGGAACCAGCTCCCGCCTGATCTCCGTTCCGAGCCCAGCCACCTTCAGTTCTGTGCCCTGGTAAAAGCGCATCATGGCTCCGTTTAAATGCTTTTCGGCTAGTGTGTTTCTATGGTATAGCGGACTGAAGAATAGTAAACGTGTTTTGCAATAATATGTACGAAGCTATTTATTTTGTATATAGTATGTTCCCATTCGTTTTTGCTTAGGTGTAGCCCTCGAGGTTGATTGCTAATTTATGTCTACCCTTCCTCTCTCCATACTTCTGTCCCCCCCCCCTCTCTCTCATTCCCTCTGTCGTCCACATGTATCAAGGAGGCGAATCGCCGTTTGGGTGCGACGTTAAATAAACTTCTACAACAACAACAACAACACATCCAAGTAATCGTATATTTTATTATTTTGCCACTGTCTCGATCTCAGCATGTCTTGAGCTTGAAGCACTATCTTTACACAATTCAATGAAGTACGGCTATGTTCTACTACAGCCAGAGTCCTCAATGAAGTGGTTGAAAAAGTGGGAGTGAGTGCATGTGCTAAAATAGTAATTCTACATAACCGCTAAGCCTATGACGTAAAATAGCCGCTATGTCGTAATGTGTACAAAATACAGGTACCGCATAGGTTCCCTGTCATGAATATTACCCGCGCCCTCCCCTCAGCTGAACTCTGGATCCGCCGCTGGAGTTGGGGTACGGTTTGAGGAGGACAAGACATTGAATGGTGGTCGCCACAGTCACAGATAGCAGTGCTGGTGAGGCTACAGGCACTCCACCAGGGAGTCGTGAAATACCGTATTTTACGACTCCCTGGTAGGCCCAGACAGATTCTGCTCCGGTCGCCTCGATATTTTGCCGCAAAATGTTGCTGCGAAATCTTCGATATTTTGCCGAGCCTGGCACAAGAAACTCGATATTTTGCTCCATTTTGCTCCGGAAAAACGTGTATATCATGTCCACTTTCCGTACAATCCCGTACAACGTTTCATAAAAATCGCAGGGTCTGTTTCTCAACACGGGTTTCCACACACGTGTCCCTGAATTCTTCCAAAATTATGTCGATCCACAGTGAATCCCAGTGATATTTCGGTGACATGATCTCGTCCTGGGCAGTGTATCCTGCTGAACGGGTAAGAAACAAAGAAATCCAAGTATCAGGCATCGATTTTACCAACATCTCGATATTTTGCTCCGATTTTGCCGGCAATTTCCGCTCTTTTAATTCTTCGATATTTTGCCGAAAGAATTGCCGGCAGGATCTGTCTGGAGCTGGGCATACTCCCTGGTGCCAAGTGACCCCCCCCCCCCCGCGCCCCCCGGGTTCTACTCTACGGTCCACGGCCGGCTGTTCCCACTTGGCCATCTAACAATATGGCGGCTTTTGCGCCGTTTTTGACAAATCCCAACGGTATTTTATAATACGAAGCGAATTATTACATTTTCACATCAAAACCATGACGAACCGAATTTTTGTACTTGCTGACACGCGCGTCAGACGCGTTCTCGATCGCCTCGAAAATATTGTGAGGAAAGAGATTGAGATGAGAACAAAGGAAACAATCTGAATTATTTTGAGAGGAGAGAAAGCTAAAACTTAGTAAAAGAGCTCGATGGAAGGCCGAGAATTTCAGATAGGCCAGCAAACAAGATGCAGAGATACACTAACTTTACTGTGAGGATTTCCTCTTCCTGCTGACTGGACGGAGCGACTCGTGTTGTGGGAGAGTTGCAATCAAATGCGTCTGTGCAACAGACTTGAGGCGCTCCAAGGGATTGCGGATGGCCTCGTGGTGTCTCCTTAGCTCGTTGAAGCGGGCGTGAATGCTCTCACTCCCTTGCTCTGCGAGGAGACCAAGACCAACGCCTCGCCGTCGGATGGACGGCACGACATGCACCTCCAACATGTGCAATTTCGGCGTGATGTGGCCGAGCTTTTTGCTGACGACGATATCTCGGCATGCAGTCATAAATGTCTCCACCAAGCCTTCTAGCTTGGATATGGTGGCCTCGTCCACAGGCCTGCAGTGGCTGAAGAGGGCAGTGCACTCGCCATACAGGGACATCAGGTGCTGGTAATCCTCATGAATTCGATTTGCCTCTGGGAGCAGCAGAGCAGCAGCGGCGCACGAGAAGCTACTGCAGATAAATGTGCTGGGGTTATTTCAGTTGTCACTGCTGGCTGAAGAGCTATGTGCACATGGTTGCCCACAAAAGCACCTCCATGGTATGCTTGCCTATCGATTCCATTGCGCTGGAAAACTGGCTCGATGCTTGCTCAACATGGCCCCTCACACTTTTTGTTCTGTTTTATTGCGGCCATTTGGTCGGTGAGTGACTGTCTCCACGCAAGCAATACAGTACGGCGTGCATCACCATTCTTCCACTGGTCTTGTAGGTGTTGTGTCACGCTCTCCACTGTGGCAGCAGGTATCAAGCTGAGAAAAGAGAACAGTGTACTGGACTTGCTGCTGCACTACATGTAGTTGTTGGGTAACTGCAGAAATCTCCTCATCCGTTTTGCTGGCTTCATGCAGTGACGAAAGCTTTTCAAAGCTGCCAGCATCACCAGCTACTGCTGTAGCAGCAATGGCTGCAAGGATGACAGTGGCAGCAGGAACGCCTGCAGGAGCGACAGTGGCTGCAGGAGCAGCTGCAGGGACGGCAGTGGCAGCAAGGACGGCAGTGGCAGCAGGAACGGCTGCAAGGACGGCTGCAGGGACGGCTGCAGGGACGGCAGCAGGAACGACTGCAGGGACGGCTGCAGGGATGGCAGTGGCAGCAGGAACGACGGCAGTGGCAGCAGGAACGACGGCAGTGGCAGCAGAAACAGCGGCGGTGTCTGCTGTAGTAGCAACGGCGGCAGGAACGGCGGTGTCTGCAGCAGCTGTTCTTCTGGCAAGCTCAATGTCGAGGGCTTTGAGCTCAGCCTGAAAAGCAGTCAGCATCCATGGGAAAATACCCAGATCCAGATGAAGAGCCGGGATTACAACATTCTCCTCGGGAATAGGTAAGATCACTGGACGTATGCTGTTGTTGTAGTTCTTTGCATTCTTTAGATTTGAGCCACTGTTCGTGAATCCAGTGAAATCGTTGTACAGAGTTTCTAGTGTTCTGCTGGTAGAATCGGCATCTGGGTTTAGGGCTGGTGGAATGTCCATATTCTTCTTCTGACATAGACAGTGTAAGCATGGTCGGTGCCACTGGACCCCGACAAACCATATGCTTTCGTTTGATATTCGTAGTCGCCAAAGAAAAACAATTTGAACGACTTGTTCTTCCATGTTGCTGTTGTTTGCAGATCTCTGACCTCGTCACGATAGACTCCTAGCGCGGTTTCAAGGTTCGATGGCGTGTCTTGTGCCTCGAAGATGCAAATCGGGATAGTGTTGAGGAGTGAATTCGGCCGCTGCACATTCACGATCTGCAGGACAAACTTGAAAGATCCTCCGCCGTGATCACCACCGAGTTTGATCCACAGTGGACGGACCAGTTCGCAAGCAGTTGACAGAACAGGTCGCTTGGCTTTGCCAGTTCTGAAGCACGCAGGGTATGTTGGCAGGCTGGACACTGCGCACCGTTGGTTAATGTTTGGCATATGCATTTCGTGCAAAATACTCTAGAACAGCATGGTGACCGAACACCATTGCTCGGCATGCTGCGGCAGATCATGCATTGTACTGTGGCTGCTGCACTGCTGTCGGCAAATCTTGACATAGTCAAATTGCACTCTGCTTCATAATCAGGTGCAGATATGTCATACGCCTCACTTTCAGGTATATCCATGCTATTGCTAGATGCATAGGGTTTACCGGGTGTTAGCGGCCGTCGTGAGTTCCCTTCGGGAACGGACACGATAATTTACTTTTTACTTTTATTGCTAGATGCACATGCACTGCTACTGCTTGATGTCATTTTTGCTGCATGCTCCGCTTGCTGTTTTTATCCGTTTGCTTGGTCGGCCACCCTTCGATTTTTCTTGAAACTTGGTGCAGACTCTGCAAATCACAGGTTCATGTCTTTTCTAACTAAATGTTACCCCTTGTCCACAACCACCGCCACTGGGATTGAACTTCTCTGTGCTCTGTGATCTCTTCAGCACTCTTTGGCAAAGAGCACAGATATATGTTGGGTGAATGGTAGGGTCGTCATTACAAACATCAATACTGAATACGTTTTTCATCGTTTCAGTGTAGTCAGACACTGGATATCTCGTCTGTTGGGAGCACGCAGTAAATTTTGCGCCTCCAACACGGCATAGATGCTGTAAATGCGCTGCATGGTGCTCCATGTCGTGCGATGCGTCGCAGATGTGCATATCTCTCACTGGAAACAGAGAAAAGTAAAGGCCCATCGTATTTTTGATTTCACCATCGTATTCAAAAGAACTTGCGAAAATATAACGGACAACTACCCGAGGATGCGAGGAAAACCTCGAGTGGTGACTGAATAACTCCAGAAGACGTACCACGAGCGTGATGAAGGTAGCTAACAATATACTGACAGCAATTTCAGTCGATAATTCCACTACGCCAAAACAGAAAGCAACTTCCTTCTCCTTCGTCCGATCAAGGAATGTTTGGTACCAAAATGTTGCTGTGCGCGTCAGCTTTCCACTCCCGCGGATTTAGTATCAAAAATGTGGGGCTAGCGGCGGTAAATCGCGGAAGAATGATAGCAACTCACCTTAATCTCAACGTAAAAATGATTAATCTTTGATTTTTTGCAAAAATCAGCGGGTACCCCCCGCCATGTTAGATGGCCAAAAATCGCTGGCTGAAACAGCCGTGGGTCGCGATCGATTGGTTGGTCTGCAGTGCAGATCTGTTCTTGAATCAACTCTCCATCGCAGGCAGTTACTGTTTTCATGCATCGAAATCATGGCTGATACAGTGATAGATTTGGCTTTACAATTATTATTTGCAAAGACTAAAATTTAAAAAGACAAACACACTGGTTACCGATGTGGATACAGTTCCCTTCGCAGACCTACTAGTACTACTCCGGGACTCAGGTTCCAGCAGCCAGTTAGGGCTATTTCTTATCATAAGGCTTGGCTACCAGAGGAGAAGAGGACAGCTCTCGCCGAAATGAATGTTACTAAAGCAGTGAAACAACTTGCCTCGTTCGCGCTTGGAATAATTGTCAGCTGGTGTTGTGTTAGACTTGCCTCGATGAGGATTCAGTCGGATGGCTTGACCAGTCCACAGCTTGGTGTGCAGAAAGAGCATGTGCTGAGCCAAGAGGTTACCGTCATGACAGAAGTCCACATTGACTTCACCAACCCTGACATCAAGGCCATCGTCAATCGCCAGGAGAAAGCCTTTCGTTCTTCGAACGCTTCTCAGGTCTATCTGGTTGTGCTGATAAAGTCCTTTGCAAAGAATAAACTCAGTCGTGATGCTCTGCGTACGTCATGGTTCATTCGTGATACTAAAACGTATCGTCCCGTACCTAGCAAATTGATACGACAATATTTCCTGGTGGGAGATGCAGAAGACGAGGACACTGAACAGCAATTGAAACAGGAGCAGCGTGAATTCGTTGACATCATACGTGTCCCATTTTCAGACAACTATGATTTCCTTGCACCCAAGGTTAGCAATGTCCTGCGCTAGGTGACGTGTATGCGTACTGTGTGCGTGTGTGCGCGCATGTGAGTGTGTATGTGTGTGTGCGGTGTGTGTGTGTGTGTGTGTGTGTGTGTGTGCGTGCACGTGTGTAGTGTGTGTGTGTGTATTTGTACGCATGTGTTTGTGTGTGTATATGTGTGTGTATACATGTACATGTGTGTGAGTGTGTGTGTGTGTGTGTGTGTGTGTGTGTGTGTATATCATCGCTTACGCGATGGGCATGTCTGAGGTCTGAGGTTTGTGTATACAGTCATATACATGTGGGTGTATGTGTGTGAGTGTACCGTAAAGTACCGTTGATCCGCCTCCCCCCCCCCCCCCCCCCCCCCACGCCAAGTCTAATATCTAGTATAATTATACAGGGTATGTACCGTAGAACCAATGTCTGTTCAAGAGTCAGGTCATTGACCCAGTTGGGATACTTGGACCTGTTTGAAAATGAACACCGGGTCACTGTGACCCGGTTGGGATTATGCGCATGTCGAGTACTTTTTTTGTACTTAAGTAGGGTGAACACTGATAGGCGGCAGGCATGTGCGGACAGAGTGCCCCTTGCGCATTGTTCATACATGTACAGACAGTGTCATGGTATGTATGTAAGCCTTGTTGGTAGATTAACAGGTTGATCAGTTGACTGCATGTTACAAGGCGGAGGACGCGCTGTGTCGAAAACAGTGCTCCTGACTACAAGTATCATTTTATTACAACGAAAGACTCGCAAGGATAGTGAGGGTCCGAACCGGGGCCAGACCCCATGCGGTTCAAATGGTCGCAAGACTGGGGCTCTGCCAACCGATGATGGTTGTAATCAGGAGCACTGTTTTCAACACAGTGCATCCTCCACCTTGTAACGTGCTGTCAACTGATCAACATGTGCAATTATGTACAGCAGGGAGTCCTAAAATATTTACGGCTTTCCTGCTGTACATGCGGTAGCCGCACTTGATCGTACCAAGAGTACATGAAAACCTGAGCGTGCAGCTCGGATGGGTTGCTGTCACGGCGGAATTCCGTGTTACATCATTTTACTATTTTTAGTAATGTAGTGTGTACAAGCAGGATTCAAGCAGGATTCAAGCAGGATTCAAGCTGGTCTCTTTCTGCACAACTGCAGCTCAGTTGTACGCACCACGCCATTTCCCGCCTCAGATCTGCGCCAAGTATGATGTAATCACGGAATTCCGCCGTGACAGACACCCATAGCAGAAAAGGCCCCAAGCTGCACACTCTGGTTTTCATGTACTCTTGATCGTACCCAACTCTGATCCGGTTGCAAGAATTGCGCCAGGTACACATGTACCCGGTTGGTTTGAATCCTCTAGAGCAGACAATGAAAACCTCTCTAATCCAGGCGCCTTGGGGTCAAAGAGTGCCCGCATCTCAGAAGTATCCGTAACTCGGAACTACGTTACAGCCACAATGGATATTGACCATCCTTAGTCTCTTCAAATGAGTGCACTGAACCAAGAGATACCATTCGCAGTTACTGTATTTTCCGGAGTTTAAGCCGCACCCCCATTTTCGCCACGAAATGCAGACATCCTACCCTTGGGGCGCGTTTGGTTGGTACGAACTAGAACAGGATTCACCAGAACAGCGCGTTTGGTTGTGACTGCACCTGTTCTGGGTCGGCCAGAACATGTTCTGCTTGCTCCGGCCTCCAGGCCGGAGCAGACCGAGCAGTTTCACTTTTTCACAGTGAAACCTGGCGGGAACATCGATTTTGGTCCCAAATGATCACGTGCATACGCTTTTGTTTTGGACTCGTCGTACCGTACACAGTGACCATGGTGACCCATACACATTTTGAAGAAACCACCAAGTTTGGCATATTTTTCACAAAAATGTGCTCTGTTTCTGGAGTACCGTTTGGTTGACATGAGGCTGCTCCATGTGCACCAGCTGTTCGATCCTGTTCTAGATCGTACCAACCAAACGTACCCCTAGTTACCACCGCTATTTTTGATAATCGGGAGTATTCTGTTTTTGGGGTGAATTTTGAGTGTTCAACGTGCGGCTTAATACTCCGGAAAATATGGTATCTCTCTCTCTCTCTCCCTCTCTCTCTCTCTCTCTCTCTCTCTCTCTCTCTCTCTCTCTCTCTCTCTCTCTCTCTCTCTCTCTCTCTCTCTCTCTCTCTCTCTCTCTCTCTCTCTCTATGTGCCTCTGTCTGTCTGTGATTGTGTGTCTGTATTGTTTGTGTATCTGTGTACCTGTGTGTCTATGTGAATGTGCTGGTGACTATCTATATGCCTTAGGTATTCTACGGCCTACAGTACGCTGCACAGCACCTAGAGTTTGAGTACGCCCTAGTCGCCGATCAGGACACTCTGGTCAACTGGCAGACACTGCTGCCCTGGATGGCGTCACACCCGCGCCGCAACCTCTACGCTGGCAAACTAGTCAAGGACCGGCCTGTCAATCGCGACCCTGCTGCCAAGTTTCATGTGCCAAAAGAGATATATGCGCCAGCAAAGTACCCGCCGGTTGCTGCTGGTTTCGGCTACTTGATGAGCTCTGATGTCGTGCACGGTCTCCTTTCTGCTATGGAAAAACACGCGCTGGTAGGAGAAGACGATGCAATGGTTGGTGTTATTGCCTCTTCTCTCGGCGTGCAAGTGACCGATGTTGGTGCGTTCCAGGTACACGGTGCCTGCACTGTTAAGTTTCCCATGGTGCTGGCTGGTGTGAGTGGGTCCGGGCAGATGACCAGTCTGCATCAGAAGGGCCTACAGAGACTAGCCGTGTGTGGCTGAGCCGTATCCTGCTGTCACCATACCCCCACCGCTACTGCTGGCGCTACTTCAGTACTTCTACTGCTGTGTGCCCGGTGACAATCTTGCCACGCGGCCTCTAGAGACACGCTTTCCGCTGTGTGGCATACATTGCGGATGTGTGCATACTGGCACACTGATGCTTGGCTTCTTACAGTGTTTCCTGATGCTCTACTCTGCGCTGCTAGGAACACGTACGTATACAGCCGTTGTGGCATGGTATTATACAGTGTGCATGTACCGGTATTTTAGTGCTGCTACGTGTACATTGGTTGGGAGATGCTCCATACTGCCCAGCACTGTTGTGAGAACCTGTGCAGCTGAATATGGATGCATCCCTTTCTGCAGCTAGCATGTTACTTCAATCCCACTTCGTTGGGACCCCTGTATTCCAGGGCCAATCTATCATCATTATCCTGGAGAGGAGCTTCTGCACTGGAACTAGTTCTCCAAAGCTTGGGATTTGCGTCGAGTGTAACGGCTCTGCAGCGTGGCAGTTTCTAGTGGAGTTGTACGTCTGAGCCTGGTCTGGGTGTGGACGAGGCCAGCGGTGGCTCTGTGCGTTGGCTGAGCAGCTTAGTTACGTAGTATGTGCAGCAGTGCTCAGCATTTGACAAGCTGAACCGTGGACGGCTTCCAGGCAGCGCAGCATACGTGTACGCTATCACCACTACAGTAGATGCTTGTCATCTTGTCTTTGGAACAGCTGCTGCTACCACAACTACGGGGTGCAATATTTTTATTCAAGCGCAGCGAAATGTGAGAACAAGAAACAGCTCTACTACATGCCACCATAGTGTGTATTCGCTCACTGGAGTGCCAGGCTGCTGACCATCCCTGTTGTGATGCTACTATCACCAGCCCGCCCGCATTCATAGGTCGCTGCGACGAGCAGAGCATGTCGCCACGGACAGCAGCAGCAGCAACACCACTGCATGAGCAAAGAGCACTGGTCCATGGAGCATGTTGGATGTGATGTGTCGGTAAGAATGGTGCCCAGTGCTGTGTGATTTGCTCCTGCTGTACTTGTCCAGTGGAGTGCGTGCAGACTTCCCTGTCTCAGTCATCCCGGCGCAGCGACTGTCTGTTGTACATCTGCCCCGGTGTGTATGTGTGCATGTGCTTGCACTTTCTGACGAGATTGCACATTGCACTGATGTACGTATCCCCGTAGGTGTGTGTATGTGTACATGTACACGTCCGGTTGGGTGTTCATTGTGCATTCGACCAGTTAAGGCCAATGCTCAATAGGGTCTTGTACGTTTAACACTCGGCCGGATATACGGGATTTTCGTACGTGACAATGTTGTGTACAAGGGTTATAAGGGTTTTTAATTTTCCCTTTTTATCACAATCACCTCATCTTGTATTTCACTTTATCACTCTTCTATATCGACCTCCACTAATTCTTGTGATTCTTGACTGGTCCTATATTACCCATATTGCCGTAATATCGACCGCTTGAATCAACCACTTAGGCATTGTAATCTTTCGACTTTGGAGAAAATTTGAAAGATAGAAGTCAAAGGAAGAGAACAAGCAGGATTCGAACCCACAACAGTATAAATCTCAAGCAACCCCTTATACCACCCAGCCACTGTGCTGCAGATGCTGAACCCTGTTGCTATTACAGTACCCAAAATAGGCAACATCCTACTACTTCAGTATGTACACTAACAAATGCTTATACTAAAAGGTTAAAATAGCTCAAATTTTGGGGTTATGGCAAGGGACGTGATAAATAGGATATTGACCACGACTTCGGTCTATATGGGAAATATAGGCCTCATAAAAGACCTCAGATTTACTCGGCCTATATTTCCCATATCATATAGACCTCGTCTTGGTCAATATCCTATACGTAACTTCAGCATAATTAATTTAGTGTGATTCTGTAATTTAGTGTGATAAAATAGAATATAGCAACATTGAATGAACGGAAATGTTGGGGGGGGGGGGGGCAGGGGCGACACACAACTAGTGATCTAAGCGAAAACAGAAATGATTGCCATAAACAAACGGCTCCAGTGTGGAGTAATTGGTTTGAAAGTATGTTGTAAGCTAGCTTTTTATAGCAACACCGATTGGGTCTCTAGCAGATTTTGTTGAGATAACGAATAAACAACAATGGCAAGATAGCACTGTGTAGAGGGGATACAGAGAACCGGTCACCTGCTTCGTTGAATGCAAATGGGCCCAAGTGGTAACGAATAAAACGTCTAGAAGAGCACCCAAAGGAGAAGCAGTAACAACACCAGTGCAAGAAGTGTGGCCACAAGTTTGACCTTGGCGACGAATGACATTGGTGCGGTGCGATACGTCAACGGTGTCTTGCCAGTCAGTATTGCCTGCATTGTGTTTACACAGTGGGACTGTGAGGCTGCCGACGTCGACTTTGATACAGTGCCAAAGACAAATCTGCAAGAACAGACAAATAGAATTCAAGACAGACAACTTGCTACACGTTTCTGCACCACAAAATTATTGAAAATTGTACCTCCTCTCTGAAATTACAAGGATGTTATCTTGAGAAACATTCCCAGGTTTGTTCATGCATGGGTGACCACAATCACAACCGCGTTAACGATACTCACTAGTTAACTATACATGTACTGAGAATTATTTTCATTCTCCACATACTGTAGCTAGTGAACTGTAGCTACAAATACTGAGTTCTAGGTGGGAATCGGTGTGCTTGTCTGCTTTTTTGAATTGAAAAGTGGCAAGCACCCGCAACTTGTATGAAGGAACTATGAATAACGGATGATGGATAGTGCCACGTACGTACAGTGTACAACCAGTCATGAAGAATGATAGTAGGAGAACATGCAGCCGAGTCCTTTGGGGCAAAAACCTTCCAAAGAGATACACAGAAGCGACCAGTGGACAGACCCGGAGAGTGTTGTAGCAATATCCCCAATGCAATCCTATCTATTTCAAAACACTTTGTTCGGAACTACATTTCGGTCGTACATCATTTACCCAGTTCCTAGCGAAAAGAGGGGCAATCGCAACCTGGCAAATTCTACATTCTATCCGGGCAGCATGCAAGGCGTGGGCCGAGCAGAAACCCTTTTGTTAGAAACGCTAACCTACCTATCCGGCCGAACGAGAACCGAGTGACACCTGAAGCGCCGCATCCACTTCTCAATGCTACCATTGTCCACTATCAGCACCTCACTTGCACCATCTGTAACAGTGGAACGATAACGGTGACATCAACCATGACAAACGCCGTCGCCAACGACAACAACATCCACAGCAACAAAGACACAGTACGCATGTAGTGATACACATATCTGATGCTACTCGGGCTGCGATGAGATCGAGTTCAGGCCAAACCTGTGAACTGTGCAGCACAGCACATGCCCGCAATACACCAGGGTGCACAGCGCAGCATACACACGCACACAATACACCAGGGCACAGCATGCAGCACTACTCTGCGGGTGCAGCAGAGGAAGTACAGATCTGGCAGAGGAAGTACAGATCTGGCGTAACGTTTTCACTTGCTGACCAGGACCCCAAAGACAATGGGGAACATAATTGCCATGACCGTAAAGTGGATAGACGTAAGTTGGGTTTGATAAAATCATATGGCAACAATTTCACATATAGAGGGAAAGGCAATGGTCAGTTAACTCATTGCATACCTGTCTTGACGGACGTGATATCGATTCCTTGCCGCATAACTCTGACAAATGTGCAGCCAATGTTCTCCAGGTATGCGTGATGTTCGGCGGATAACACAGAGAGTGGTGACTCATCCAGTGACAGCCAGCACCAAGTAGGGCCCAGCACCTTGAATTCAGCAGAAGAGGCCGTGGAAGAAAATATGACGAGAGAGTACGGTGTTGATCTGCCACTCAAACAGCTGGCTGGGCATGAACTTGTATGCGTACTTGTACATGTTGTACATGTTGTACATGTTGTACTGTGATGGAGATGAACACAAGACTATCCCACGCGTATGCACTGGTCAAGGTACATGTACTATGGGTACATGTTTCCATTTAATAGAGTGAACAATTGGCTTTTTTAATTTTTTTAAATGCTTCTGCATAATGTACCGTACTGGCAATATATGTTGCCGCGTAACGCGTAACGCAGGGGGGTGCGGCGTAACGCGCGACCAGGCTAGTGCGACAAATTTTCGTTGAGTTCGTAACGCGCGTCCGGCGGGGTGCGGCGATCTTTTCATTGCAAAAAAGGCTGAAAACTGTGAAAGCACGTGTACCGCGTGGTGAAAAGTTCAAAACTGGACGCAGCAGGAAGTCCTGCAATAGCAAAAAAAGGACTGCGGCAATATAGAAACCTGTGTAACGGCTCCTGTGCGACGTTGCATGTAACGCCCTGCGTGCGGCAAACATGTGCCAATGTAACGCTTCATGGCCTCACTGCGGCAACATATATTGCCAGTACGGTACATAACAGTTAACATAACAGTTCATACATTTATCGTACTTGTATGTACGGGTATCCTGCTTTGGCACGATGATGAGAAGAGGTTACCAGTAATCAGAGAGCCCAAACCTTTCCCAACCCAACCCAGTGAGAGAGTTACACGTTCTTGGGGAGTGACTACTCCAGACTAGCGGGTAGGTATTTCTCGTTCTCTTGCCAAGAGGTACGAGCGAGAGAGGTACTAGCATCAGCAAACTACAAATTAAATTGATGACTCCGTACCTTATCCAGAAGCACACTGTCAATGGTGTCGTCAGAACGCCGCAGCGTTGGTTGAATGAAGTACTGGCCAGAGCTGCACAGAGAGTGCACGTGTACACGTGAACCCAGGCGTACACGTACACTTACGCACGCACACACACATGCACACACACACACACACACACACACATACATACACACACACACACACAGTTACTCGTCCAGAAGTTGGTACCGGCTGTCCTATTTCTGGGCTTCACGAGCACTTGTACGTGATTGCAAATAATCCTTAACATTTACAGTAAAACCTGTCAAGGCGACCACTCTGATAAGGTGACCATCAGTCCCAGACGACTACTACAACCAGAACCAAGGGGTGTCATTTCCAGTCAAATAACCCTGGATAAGAAGACCACCTGTATACGGGGACCACATTTTGAAGGTCCCTTGACCTACCGCCTTATACAGGTTTTTACTGTTATATAAACGTACCTTTGGTTCTCCGGGTGAATCAGACCTTGGTGTAGATCCGGCCGGCCCTTGTACAGCTCACCGAGCATCAGCTCTCGGCCGTACACACGATTCATGAACTTAAACACGGAGTCCCTGAGCATGATAGCGGCGGGTGACGTTATAGTTACCATACGCCGAAGAGCTAACAGAGAACAACACAAGAAAAAGGTGACAAGAAATGTGAAGAAAACATCAAACATTATCCAATCCTGTTCGTCGGGATATTCATGTTTCTAATCTCCTCTGCAAGACGGATATAGCAGTGCTGTTTTTCAAACAGTTATGTGTAAGAACTTACTAAAACTGGACGCGTGCGTGCTTGCGCCAAAACACACACGCACAGCCAGTGGGGCTCTTCCAGTACAGTAGCACCAACCAATGTATGCCAAACAGCATGCAGGTGTTGTAGCAAGCTCAGTTGAATTTTAGAAGAGGCCAGCTCTGTTTGTTCGTGCATACCCGGGTACAGTAAGTAACATCAGCTGCTGGAGCGGTGCTCAACGGATTGTGCCGCACAACAAAAAAAAACACTCGGGGGTTAGTTGCCATTCAGAGCTTCATGCTTGTGGCAATTTCCAGGCAACCGATGACGTTCCAACTGCACATACCAATAATGACATTTGTTTGCCTCTCAATCCACGGCTGCCGCTCCGCTTCGAAGCTGCTTAGAAGATTACTGGCAGCGCCAACATTGTCAGTCAGCGGTTCAGATGCCTGTTGCTGCTGCTGCTGCTGCTCCTGGTGCTGCTTCTGTTGCTCGCGGTACTGCCGCAAGTCAAGTTTGTTGGTTAGATTTCCCCGACACAGCAGTGCAATCTTCCAGGATAAATTCGCTGCATCTTCCAAACCACAACACAGGCCTAACAGACAAAACACAATGAAGAGAAGAGAACAACACCTTACGTTAAAGTCGATTAGGATGAATTGACTACAGTATAAATATCAGGCTACACGGTCAGACCTCGCTTTAAAATCGCACACATCCGTTTGCAACAAAGATATCCAGATAGGCGAGGGGACCAGATAATTGAACACACATACTGTATGTATGCATGGCGTGTGCTGTAAAACGGTAACCAACGATTTGCTTCCGGATGGCAAGGGATCCGAATAAAAGAGGACCGGATAAGCAAGGTCTGACTGTACTTGAAAGGAGAATGGAGGGTCCCTCACCGTCCTGGACCAAAGGCTGCTGTCAATCTACACAATGAATGAATACAAACACTGTTTAAAAGGAGGTTCTCACCTAAAGGAGTCAAAAAGTGTGCATGGACCCACCCACCCCATTTTTATGCATGGAATGGTGGAGTGATATCTCCTCCTCAATTCGGTATACTGTAGAATGGGTAATTTTAGCGACTATTAATTTTAGCATTTTCCCATTGTCAACCGGTTAGCGACGTTTTATTTTAGCGATTTGCAGCGATTTTACTCACGGATCACCAGTGCACTACTAAAGTCTCAACGGATTAGCGACTTGAAACTTTAGCGAAAATGAGTAGATCGCTAAATTCGCTAGGGTTTTTACGTCGCTAAAATTACCCATTCTACAGTAGTTATAAGGTAGGGTCACCCGGCATATAGAGGTATTCCAGTGCATTTTCCCTAGTGAGTGTACAATTTCTTGATTTTAGGCAAAAACGTGAAGGCAACAATGGGTCTTTGGCCCAAAGAAGCATCCTGGGAGGAGTACGAGAGCTTGTAGATCAACCCGACAACGCACAGAGCTATGCCTCAGCCTCACAATCTTAAAACTAGAACAGGAATTAAGCGGTGAAGATGACAATGGCTATGTTGTTGTTGTTGTGGCAGATCATAGCATAGCAGCATAGCAGTGCTGCCACCTACTGCCACCTACCTTGCCCCTTGGTGGGTGGCATGCAGTGGGCAGCATCTCCCAGCAAAACGATATGACCTTGCCACCATTGAGACACCTGCAACACACACACACACATATGCACACATACACACACACGATATGACCTTGCCACCATTGAGACACCTGCAACACACACATACACACACACATATGCACACACACACACATGCACACACACACACACATATGCACACACACACACACATATGCACACACACACACACATATGCACACACACACACACACATATGCACACACACACACACACATATGCACACACACACACACACACATGCACACATGCACACACACACACACACACATGCACATGCACACACACACACACACACACACACACACACACACACACACACACACACACACACACACACACACACACACACACACACACACACACACACACACACACACACACACACACACACACACACACACACACACACACACACACACACACACACACACACACACACACACACACACACACACACACACACACACACACACACACACACACACACACACACACACACACACACACACACACACACACACACACACACACACACACACACACACACACACACACACACACACACACACACACACACACACACACACACACACACACACACACACACACACACACACACACACACACACACACACACACACACACACACACACACACACACACACACACACACACACACACACACACACACACACACACACACACACACACACACACACACACACACACACACACACACACACACACACACACACACACACACACACACACACACACACACACACACACACACACACACACACACACACACACACACACACACACACACACACACACACACACACACCGTGGACATGAATCTGAATGAGGTACACATACTTACAATACGCATGCAACATAAGCTGATAGCATTCAATGCTTACTGGCATCTGCTACAATTACCAGGAAGGTCATTTCCTTACCACCATGCCATACTTTCTCTGGGGGGGGGGGGGGGGGGGGGGTGCAGTATATCCACACACCTCATCCCACCCTCTCACTCACGGATCTGGCGTGGAACTTGTACACCATGCGCCGCTTGAATGTCAGCTTCTCGACGTCAATACCTATCTCGTTCAGGAGCCTCGTCGTGTTCTCCTCTCGCACAACAGTCAGCGCCTTCTCATCACTGTACAGAGCATGGTGGGAGAAAGCAGACAACAAGAATGGAACACACTATGCAGATCAGGACACATAGCATAAAAAAATAGAAAAATTACGGTTCACTTGAGATTCTGCTAGACACAGCTCCTAACATGGCAAAACAGACTCCAATGAATAGAATGGTTTCCTGTGGACTACGATAAGGTCATATTTCACAAAGTGGAGATACTGTTGGCTTATGAGAGTGCTCAACTCGATAAGAGGAGCCTGCGACACAAGTTCACAATGATGGGAAACTTTGTTCTGCTACTCCGTGTTTCATGGCAACTGGACCAATCATCAGACAACATAGTGAATGCTTAGGTCATATTTCCATACGAAGCAAAAATCGGCTTAGCAACTTACTCCTTCAGCAGTACTTCGATTCTCCGCATGTCACCAGGCAGTCTGGCATTCAGGAACACTCTGTTAGCACTGGCAACCAGCGAGGAGTTAGGCCAGTCGTCGTCGAAGGACTTGTCCTCGCAGGTGACATCCATTACCAGCCAGTGTTCAGCTGCAGTGCACGACAGCAAGAACGCAAGCACACACGTGATATGATAATCTGTCAAAGTACCCTGGCCTTGGAAACGTCGTGTCTGTACACAATCATATGGCATCTTCGTAATCTTGCAATCCACCAGCCTTAAAAAGTGCCCAATGCGTCAAAGTACACAGAGCATACAACGTGGGTACAGTCCATACTTGAGCACGAGAGTGCACTGTATCATAGTGTAGGAGTTGCATTATTTGATAGAAAGTATATTTTCACAGTGAGGCCATCCAGAATTAATTCGTTGTTTCGGGTCACCCGACCGACCGTCTTTTTTCACCCGACGCACACTGTTTTTTTTATAGTGCATGCAAACGTACAGACTAGACTATGTACACACGCGACCCTAATAATAGCAGTCCAGATATCGACCTCAGAAGCAGCCATGGCTAGCCAAATGACAGGATGCAGCGCTTGGTGACGACGTTGTCTTCTATCTCCGATCCTCAATCGGTCCTGAAACAGCATCAGCTCCGCCACCTTGTCGCTATTTACAGAAGTTTTCAAGGTGAGAGCTGCTCATCAGACTCATTTGCCAGCGAGGCCAAGATCTGGTCCAGGAGGGGACCTGGATCTGATGGGACAATGACTGCGCTGGATTGTCTACACTACAGTCAGATTTGATCGACTGGCTAGATGGACACAGTGTCTGCTCCAGGATTGTAAGACAGCCGGGTACACGTGTACCTGGCGCAACCATTTCAACCGGGTCGGAGCCGGGTACACATGTACGCCCAACGATATACAGGCGCAACCGGGTCCAAGCGCCGCCCAACCGGGTGGATTACCCGGCTCACCCGGCGCTGGAGCAGACACTGGGACAAAAACTATTCGATGTACATGTATGCACATGGACGTAACCAAAATAAAAAAATATAAAAAAATAAAAAATAAACCCGACCGACCGACCCTGGTACGGATGAGTGAAGTGACCCGAAACAACGAATTAATTCTAGGTGGCCTTAAGAGTATTTATTTCGTAGTGTGACAAGCTATGTAAACAGAAATCTCTGCCCTATGTTGCTAGGATATGCGCACTCAGCTTGGCAGCGTCGGCCGGACAGCCTGAAGCCACACATTCAGCACAAATCGAGTGCGGCGCACTATGTCAGTTCACCGCTTTCACGCTCAAAGACAGTGTACGTGCAACCTAACCCAATCATATTCAATTACAGGATCAGCTAGCTGTTTTGACCATGTGAACGGTCTCATCGGCAGAGCCAAGACTGGCCAAACTGATCGCTATAGTCGAATAGAGGTTGCACAATTACAATGGTACTTTGAGATGAGATGCTTCGGTACATAGGCGGCACAACAAATCAGTCAGTGATGCACTAGCAACTCATGCTGTTCACATAGCGCCCAAAAGCAGTTCGGCTGACTCACCTCTATGTCATCATTATGACATCATTTGCATAACTCCTATTCTAGCTCTCCATAATACTACATGTAACAGTGATTTATACGTAACTGATTTCCTTGGTAAAAGTCACTAGGGAACTTACGAATGGAGAATCCTTGATACTTCAACCCCAAGTGCTTCCTGACGAAACTCCGACCACCATCACAAGCTAGTAGATATCTAACACGGTCAGAAGAGCATGAACACTATTCATGTGACTGGGCTGACTAGCTTCAGAGGAGCATGGACGCCATTTCTCCGACCTGAGCTAGCCTCAGAAGGCCATATAAACACCATGAGACTAGAGCAAGGCACTATGAGACTAGACCTAGCTTCAGAAGGGCATAAACAGAAAGGAATCTGCCTTTGCCCACCGAGACATCTGAATTGCCTTGGCGTATTTCACAGAATATTGCATATTACCCACACAATGGTTTGGCACGCAGTGTTTGTATTGGACCTTTTCAAAGCACTCACACACACACACACACACACACACACACACACACACAAACACACACACACACACACACACACACACACACACACACACACACATATATCCTAGTGTTGAAACGAGCGTATCTATAACAAACGAGCGATCAGTTCCACTAACGAGCAAGCTATCGAGCGAGCTAACGAGTTTCATTGATGCGGCAAATGTGATTTTTTGAATCTTTTTTTTCTAAGTTCGATTTTTTTCAGCTGGTTCAAATTATCACCGCTGGAATTTGGGGTTGCTGCTGCTTCATATTTCACTTCGGACTGCTGTTTGGTGTCGAGATGTCTTTTCAGCGCCGTCGTTGAGTAGCCTTTGTAAGAATAGACCGTTTTGCAAAGATTGCAAGTAGCCCTGGTCTTCGCTGCATCGCGGGAGAAAACTTCCAAACGACTGAGCGTAACTTTCACTCGAATGGAGAGGTGACCGAAGCATATCCTGCGACAGGTCAGCAGATGCGGAGCAAGACATCAGCTAGTAGAGTCCACCAAAGCTGCAACGACAACTGAAACAACTCAAGTGTCGTGCAGGTATACAGTCACTGTAACTGCGAGTGATTTTCACTTTGCGCTGGGAGGGGACTGGACTCTCGATCGACCAGGGAGTCGTAAAATAGGTTACGACTCCCCGGTCGACATGTACTGCCATGTGTACGGAGTACGGTGTTCGTTAGTGCAAACGAGCTGGCCGCACAAACGAGCCGAGTTTCTGGCGAGCGAGCTAACGAGTACCCGGTGAGATCGTTTCAACACTAATATATATACACACACACACACACACGTCAACGGTTAGCTCAATAATTCACCGCCTCAAGTACAAGTTTGCTCAAATTCCATACGATTTTCTAGGCGATAAGCAGCACTTCAAACACTCATAATTCATCCAAAACCGCTGGTGGGGTTTATGCTACGATCCAATGGTCAAATGAACAGTGTGAAATGCAGGGTAGATAGCTGTGCTTCGTGACAAAAGTATCTGTGTGCGGCCTATACTCCGGAGAATACGGTACTGCGGACGAAGGAGTGCTCCGTACAGATACGGAAGGTTGCGGCGGTACGCTCTGGTTAAGTACCCTACCGGCATGCTAGTCCAATGCATGTAACCATGTTCTACAGAGCTGTACATCTGAAGACCTGCATGCAACACGGCCTGCTCAATCGGCCAAACACATCGACATACAGGTAGGAGCTGATACATGCACCACTCAGCGAGGCGATTCAGATTTGGGGTCGACTGAAAATTGGCAAAAAGAATGGGTTTAGTGGGTTTTGCGGCATTCCAGTTTTTCATCTGTGAATGTGCAACCGGCACACTTTGGTGGGTGCATGGCCGTGTTCTCGCCTTCGGTTCCGTTAAAACAGCATATTGGCTTACTTGCAGACGAAGGTATGTGTTTCGTGTCCCGACACTGGCCTGACGGTAACATGAACCTTGCCGTCAGTCTCTGCAAACGCTGTCACCTGTATGTGCACACAACAGAAACACGAAAAAGCGCAGCATTCGATTTCCAATGGAATACAGCCTTACACGCATATCCAATAATTCACATACGATCGGTGAGTATTAAGGAAGAAGGGGAAAAGTTTCCTTTGACAGAGTGGAAGACTGCCCTGCTTGTCGAGCAATTGTTCCTAGATTATAAGCCATTCGTGTCCTGGAAGGACTTGGCTGTCACCAGAATACTGTAAAACTGGAAAGTCTCACGACCAAAAAGTTTAACGTTTTGCAATTTTGGTATGATTACGTGCAGAAAGTTTAACGATGGCTACCTGGCCACCCGTCTGTATGCGCATCTTTACATAGACATCTAGCGATAATGTTCTTTTTTAAACTACGAAAAATAATTGGTCGTTTTGCAACTCGGTAGACTTTCCAGTTTTACAGTACTCAATTTCACGACAGTTACCTGCATTCTAACGTTGTTGGCCCAGGTGATCATGTGACTCGCCATCTTCCTACCCTCGATGCATACAGTACATGTATAGCAGCACCGTGTGCAGTCACGCGGCAATAACACTCACCTCGTGTCCAAGATTCACCTGCACGTTGGCGTACTGCTCCAGTCGCCGACGCAGCTCCTTCTCCACCGTGGGCTGGTGAAACGTACACAGCTGGTGGCAGCCATAGCGACGCCTGAATGTTCACCACACCATAGCAAGGATTAACATTTCTTTTACTATGTTCACATACCCAGCTCGAAAAGAACAATGAATGACAATGGTACAGAGACTAACAAGTTAGGACAAACGTGACAAATAATGAGCATGTGTAGACTGTAAGTGGCTACAATCAACTACTGTAGCTCGATATAGTCTTTTGGTGTCTGAAAGGAACAATTCTCCTTGTAGGGACTGCAACATACTAGTAGTAGGCAAAAGATGCACTGATTCCAATGGTGAAGGTTCCAGGTTGATCGGAGCAGCCGTTCCGAAGTTACACCAGCTTGACGTTTTCACGAAGTTTGGTGACATCATGATGCCATCATCAACTTGCCCAGAATAGGCCAGACATGTAGTTATCGTCGTCCCTTTGTACAAGTGTGGAGATGGTACGGGACTGGGAGCAGGTGGAGAAAAGGGAGATACAACAATGTCACAGAGACCTTGTATGGGAGTAGATCGGGAGAACGTAGCATTCTGGGTCTCCATCACCCCAAAGACGTTTTCAAACTCTGGAATGGGCTGAGACATATCACACTTCACCGGCATCCCGACTGCGAAAATGTCTGGCAAGGAGTTTGAGTCGCTCTTCCCCATCTACTCCCATACAAAGTTTATCTCTGTTACGTCACAAATCTGTCCTGCTCTTGGCATGTTATTGATGTCATGATGATGACACCAAATTTAGTCAAAACGTCAAGCTGCTGTTTCTTCAGAACGACTGCTCCGACCAACCTGGGACCTTTACCATTGGAACCCGTGCATATTTCGCTACAAATCGTGAAGTTTTCATTTTAGGGTGAGCTGCTGATTGAAGTGGGACATTACAAACCTATGTGTCATATCACTCATGTCCAGCAAGACCTGTCCGCCCGGAGGTGATGCCGTACGCAGCTCAGCACCAGCCTTCAGTATGTGCTGGTCCATCCAGTCACCCATGCCTATCTGTACAGGGGGGGGGGGGGGGGGTAGAGACAGTTGGAAAAGGAACACACAGATGCAAATATGAGCACACATTATCATGTGTACATGCATGCTTGCACACACACCAAGGGCGTCGGAACCGGGTGCGGCAGGTGCGGCCAAAGCCACACCAATAATTTCATCTTCGGATTTTTTGAAGCAATCGAATATGGGCTATGTGGGCCCAATTTCCCTAAAATGTTCCGGGGGGAGGACCCCCTGGACCCTCCGCCCATTCATGGCCCTACCAATGCCGAATACATTCCAACGCGCCTGCACACATACACATGCAATGATCACCATATTAGCAAGAAGGGCAACACTCAAACAAAACGTACCGTACCGTATTCCAACCGTTGCCTGTGACTCGATACAAGCGTCTTTTGGGAGTCTGAAAGGTACAACTCCCTTTTCCAGCATTGCAACATATGCACACAGTTCACAGTGCCAAGTAACCTACTCTCGTAGTTTTTTTAAACAATTCTCAGTTCACGTCATAGTAGAGACTCGGTTAGACCCAGTCTGCCGCATACGTAGGAACATCACCACCCTCAAGGAGCAAGGCGCAGATGCAGCTGAACCAGAATTTCGGGAAAAAATTCAAAGTGGGCTGAAGCTCATCCTGCTGCCTTGTGACCTGCACCCCAAATATGTATTCTAGCACATTTAAAACAGGGAAGTGACAATGTGCCTGCAAAATGAGAAGGGGGGAGGAGAGGGAGGAGGAGGGGGGAGGGGGAGGGAAGAGGAGGGAGGGAGTAGGAGGAGGAGGGAAGAGGAGGAGGAGGGAAGAGGAGGAGGAGGAGGAAAGAGGAGGAGGAGGAGGAAAGAGGAGGAGGAGGAAGAGGAGGGGCATATACATACTGGAAAGTAGTACATTTAGTTAGTTCAACTCACCATTTCAAATGTTCTGAGCGCTTCCGCGTCCATGGCAATCGCTCTGGAAACAAGCACATAACGTTACAGTCAATGATACAGGTCAGAGACATAACTGGGTAAAGCAACACTCAGTAACTCAGATTTAGCGATGCCAAAGATTACATCTACTGGACCCAGTGTTGATATCACTACAGGTGAAGCAATTATTCAGCACTTAATGCAAAGCAGAGAATCGATAATCATGAGCAGCTGCACAGGGGCCTTGCCAAGTACTATGGAATATGAGCAGGGTTCTAGCCAGGTGAAAATAGTAGGGGGGGGGGGGGGGGGGGGGGGCAGACAGTGGAAACAGATACTAGTACCATGTATCCGGTTTTTTCCATTTTCCAAAATTGTCTCGACACGCAAACTGCAACATACCCCGGCTGCACCCCAGACAAGTGTGCCTATATGAACCCTCTCTTAGTGATTATGGACTGCATTTTCGTTGAATTGCCTGAAAAACACAAAAATCAACAAATGAGCAGTGCGGCCCGAGGGGGGGGGGGGGGGCACTCGGTCAGAGTAGGAGAGGATGTCCAGTGAAAATGCAGAGATAGTGTACGCCAGAGTTGGCACACCGCATTCCCTTACCGTGGAGCGAAATAGATCTCGGTGAGACGCTCAAACACGCGTGTACTGATACCATACTGTCCGAGCAGGTTGGCAGCCATTGCTCCCACCGGGCCAAGGCCCACAATGATAACCTCGCTCTCCATCATCAAAAGAGCAGTAGTACTGCCGTTTCAATGATACTGCGGGGTAGACTGCCTTGGAAAGTGAACAAGTCATAATGCATGCAGAGGCAGGCGCACAGGCACGGACACACACACAGGTACATGCACGCAATCACACAGTCCACACACACACACGTGCACACATGTAGATCCTTGCTAAATATCTGCAACAGTAGCTAATGCCATGTTTTACAATGGATCCGCACTATTGATCTCCAGCTGACTACCATGTCCAGTGCATACACACTTTTTCCCCTCTTTTTTCTTTCCTCTTCGCTACCTTGCTATTGGGAAGAAATTCCTGTTTGGATTTTGCGAAGTAAAACATAAATAAATAAATAAAAAAGATGCTATGCTATAAGTAGCGACTTCAGTCCAAAATTCTAAAATCGGAATTAGGGCCAACAAATTACACGACTGGAAAGAGAAACCTCTACAGAGCACATACAGAAATTTTCATGGGTATATCTTGTCCCAAACCGGAGATATCAGGCCCCAAAGTTGGTATGCAATCGTTGGAGCCCATGTATGCAATTGTATGCAGAGCGATGGCACAAAAGTGGGCTTCTCGGACCTCATGATTATCATGCATACACAGTGAATGTATGCGCGATGTGCGGGTTTTTGGTGTTCTTGGAGGGTGACGGAGAAACCGTCGTACACATAGATGTTGGACGGGACGTGCTCTGCTTCGATGCCGATGGATTGAAATAATCACCTCCTCACTGCTCAAGCACCTCCAGAATCTTGACGTGAAGAACATAATCATTAGGCGAGACCAAAAAAAATAGAGATTCCCGGGCCCTCCCGCACCAAAATCGAGCCGAAGGCAATTTTTTTTTTTTTTGGAACAGTCGTATTATGTACGGTACTGATCGTGCGAGTAGATCTGTGACATGGTGTCACACAAACCTGGGCTTGTACGACTCCCTGGTGTACGACTCAGGGCTGTCGTTGGCCGAAATACAAAAGAAATTGTACGGGTACCGGTAAACCACGTACCATATACCTGTCGTCTGTAAAAAAATAAAAAATAAATACCGGAAAATACTGTAAAAAAAAAGTTCAGCATGCCATGCATACACACATAGGAAAAAAATTAAAAATTAAAATTCGCCCGCCCGCACCAATTTCAGATGGGTCCTGCCCGGGAATCTCGATTTTATTTTGGTCTCGCCTTACTAGCGGATTTACGAGCCAAAGGTCTGCTCGCTCCGTCACGCAGAGCCCGTCAAAATAGGGCTTGAAAGTGCTACGTCACAGCATAGCAACAATTTCAAAAATTCAAAAATTGGATCCACTTGGATCCAGTTTTTGTATGGATCCAAGCACATTTCAAGCCGTCTTACTCACAGCAAGGTGATGTAACCAGTGAAACTGACTGATTTGGCTACTGGGGGCGGGGTTACAACTGGTGGCGAAGTAAAAGTCACCCCTGCATACGATATGAGTGGGTTGCTATGCACCCACATACTGAGGCAATAGCAAAGTCACACCTTAGTGGATCCAAAATATAAATCTGATGTCAACTTAGTACTCCCTGGCCGTTTTTGACGTCATCACTTTCAAGCCCTATAGTGCACTCCATAGCCGACTTCAGCCGCTGCGCACAAATTCTTCAAACTGCTAAAAACGGCTACGGAGGAGAACCTTACCATGAACTCATCTAAACTAATTCGAGGGCTCTGAACACGATGGTGACTCGGTCATTGACGGGCAAGGTAGCTGAGATGCCGAAAGTTTGCTTTGAAAACTAAAAATACGGAGCGATATATCCAAAAATCGATGACTCTTTGACATGCGACACACCGTTGGAAAGCTATTCATGTGTGCTTGACCATCATGTAAAAATCGAAGGCGCCAGATACATGAATAACGCGTAGGCAGGCGTAGAACGTCGAGAGAAAAATTGTTCCGTGCATGCCATGCTTGCGCCATACATTCGTACGACGAAAGATTTCTGCCTTTTGGTCACGTGATTGAAGTCGCTACTATAAGCCAGCCACAATAATCAACCAGCCCACCGTTTGCCAAAATATATCCATTCATGTAGCAAAAATCACTTCAAGCTTGAACGGCCGCGGGTGTATCAACAGCGTTCAATGCTCACATGCAATAATTGTTCTATGGTGTTTCAACTTTTGTCACAACTGATATTGTGATAAGGTTTAACCCTGGGCAAATTCGTAAACACCGTCTGGTGCGCGCTATCGCCAATCAAGCAGTGAACAAGCCGGTGGACAACCGCCAGAGGGCAACAGGAACAGTGATAGACCGAGTCGGGATGGGCGGATCACACGTCGACAAACGTCAGTCAGCAAACACATAAAATGTTTATCGCTAATCACAGCAAACATTCCCGTTTACCTTTTCGAAGAAAGAAACTAGCGAAACCAAATGGAGCTAAGCAGGACACCTATTTCTCTAGCCGCCCCTACCGCGTGGAGAACTTGTGGCACGTTCCATGCGGTCCAGGTAAGGTTGCCAGAACGTTGTAGACAAAATAATACAATTCGGCAGTCTATTGCAGACGGCGGAGTATTCAATCAATTTATGAATGAAAAATAAACGACATTGTTGTATATAATTTTTAACACATGATTGTAATGTCTTACCCGAGTATCCGCTGTGAGTAAAGTAATTAGTTGTCCGGACTTGCGACGACGAGTAGCGCTCACAAGAGAGACTGCTTCAGCGGAACAGGTACATACCGTAATTACTGCTCGTCCGTCAGAACTGTGTGCTAATCCACAAACCCCTAGCCGAGGCTCAGCTCTCCACTGGCCATCCCGTGCTACACGGAGGAGTCAAAGCCTCCCATTTTCACCCTGCATTTGTTTTATTATCGCTGAAAGCTGTGCTGGCTCCTCGGGGCGCAAGGGTCCGCCGAGTTTCGGCTTTCCACTCCAACTACCTACACGTACACGCCGTGTGTGTACAATCATCAGCTGACCCTGAAGTAGGAATCCCAGAGAATCACGCTGATCCGCTGGCGCGCCGCGTGGAGATGATCCACTTTCTGTCAAAATAGCCAAGATAGAGATTAGAGAGGACAGAATGCAGTCACCAGCATAGAGATCTACACGCTGTATTATGTAGGCATGTACAATGTAGATCTACACACAAACTAGCCTTCGCTTCCGCAGGCCACCACTATGCCTATGCCTTGTACACCTTAGTGACGGTTTGCCGCATTGAATTGACCACAACCACAGCCTGTTCGCCTAGAACGAGCAACACACCTAGTACCTGCCTCGTCAACAAACTCAGGGCGAGTCCCCCAGGACCTTGCAGAACTCACTTTTCTGTCAGTGGAGACGCACACAGTCAGTGATGTGGCCTCGGGTGGATGCCAGGCCATTTTGATCCGCTGAAATTGCGCCATTCACGCAATTGGGCGTGTGACATGTACAAGTAATATCACCTCAAGCTCACACTTCTGCTATCATAATGGGCCTAAATGGGTGTCCAGCCATATGGCATATGACCATGGTGACTATGAAGTATGAGCATGTTTGGTTTGGCCTTCGCGAGGTGTCAGTTTTACCAGTCAAAACTGGTGCGAAGTGCGTCATGTTCGAACTCGTTCGCGATCGAGGCGAGAGACGAGATCTCCTCGTGCTGCGAAATGTTACCAGGAACTCTAGTCCCCACATCCTTGGCTTGTATTTTGTAATTGTGCTTTCACAACAGTCGAATCGTGCGTGCTGCAAAGCCGCAAGTAAAAGGTGTGCAAACGACGTTAGGAGAGTCACTGACGGGTACCCGGGTACTGTGTACATCGTCAAGGTGGAAACACTGGGGATGATTATGTAGATCTAGATGAAAATAATGGTAGGAAGAACAAGGGAATGGAACTATGCTGTGAAACACGCATGAGGCATGATGAGGGCATGGCAGCTGAAATGGTTGGAAAAGGTACATTTTGTGCCATACTGTATGCCTTATGGACTCGGATGGAGAGCCAAGGAGGAAAGAAAAAGGACCAAGGAACTACAACTTAGTACAACTTAGCCTTCCCCTCCTGTGTTATCGTAATTATACTGTAGCAACTTAGAACCAGGACCTTCCAAGTTAGTTGGAAGGCTGTTGAGTGTTGGAGTGCGCATCCAAGGCGTGCTAGAGCTGATACTGTGATAGCCAGCTAGTTAGTAGAACGTCAGTACCGTCGGTCAGTGTCGTGCAATGTTATCACACGAGCTGATTGTTTAGTAACTGGTGGAAGTGCATCGATTTTTCGAGTAGGGTCCAGAAGAAAGACAATTTGATATCGGTTCGAATGGCATATCTCTCGCTTCCATACGATAAGCCAAACTTGCCAAATCGCCAATTGTATGCTCGCGTTGCCATAGCGACCAGCGGAGTGATGACGTACGAAAGGCTTAGCTCCTCCACAGAGAAGGTCGATCACTGCATAAATTGGTCATTTTCAATTGTCTTATTGTATTCACGATGTGAAAGAAGTGCTGTGTTCAATGCTGTTAGTGCCGTGAACTATTTGTCGCCCTTCTCATGCATTTCCCTAGGCTGACTGTGCCTAGGAAATGGTTTCCTCCAGGACAAGATGCTTGGAATTCGCCGTCTCTCCTGAGACATTTTCAGCAAACTTTCAAACCTACGACATTATTTCATTCGTCAATCTCCACCACCCGTCGTCTCACCTGGCTTCAGAAGATATTACGAGAGATAGGAGAGTCGCCAGGAAGCATCACATTCACCTTCAGGAATTGGAAAGAGCAAACGGCATGGTCCTTGGTTGGGGGAAATGCTGAACGTCTGATTTGTCCCAACCAAGATTTCAGCATTTTGTTTGTCACTATTTTGCTTGTCTGCTGGTGTCTCCGCGCTCCAGCTTTCTCCTGTCGGTGTCACGTCCCAGTACACAACCGAGAGGACTACTAACAAACAGTTCACTGCACTTACAGCATTGAACACAGCCCTTCTTTCACTTCGTGAATACAATAAACCAATTGAAAATGACCAAATTCTGCAGTGATCGACCTTCTCTGTGGTGGAGCTACAAAAAATTTATAAGCTTTCCGTACGTCATCACTGCGCTGGTCGCTATGGCAACGTGAGTATACAATTGGCGATATGGCAAGTTTGGCTTATCGTATGGAAGCGAGAGATGTGCCATTCGAACCGATATCAAAATTGTCTTTCTTCTGGACCATACTCGAAAAATCGATGCACTTCCCCTTTAATTAACTAAACTTGTAGACTCGTGAGAAATAATTAATTGCATCATGGCATACATTTAAAAGGTGCAAATAGAGAGGTTCTGCAGAACGAAAATGTGTACGAACTTTCGCTCTACGTCACGAAGTGAGAAACTTCGCACGAACTTTCGCAACTTTGGACGCGAAACTTGCAGGGAACGCGAAATGAACTTTCGTAGGAAGTTTCGTGAGATTGGGTCATGTCGTACGTGCACTTCTTCTTGACTTGGCGCGTGCAAACTACGAAAATGTGCAGAACACAAAGTTCGTGCGAAACTTCGTACACATTTTCGCAAGGCCTGTCGCGAAACTTCGTTCGAATTTTCGTTGTGCAGAACCTCTCTAATGACCGCATTGGTGAAAGGTATCACCTCAAGTGACAAACACTGGAGCTGGTTGTCTGCTACTGTACTGTAGGTGATGCCTGTGGATGGTTTGAAGTAATTATTTGTTCCGAAGGTAGTACTTATTCTCGTGGCGACACTTTGACGCAAGTTCACTCCTCTTGTGGAGAGAGAGGTGCTTGGGTACCAGACATAGCCTCATAGGTTTCACTTTTTGGTTTTGTTGCTGTAGGCCACTGCTTTGCGGTGTAGATCTACCGCCCATTGAATGCTGCATACCTTCCCTTCATCCTTCTTGGCCCAGACGTACTGCGGCAGGCGGGTGTCTTTCTCGTGTTGTCTGTGGCGGAATGATGATTGGTGATCATAGCAGCGTTGTTGCAGTATACTCCTTCTTCTCTGTACCTGTGGTAACTCTTGCCAGACATGTAAACACAATGCTCTCCGTTAGACTCGCTCCGTCCGGTGAACATAATTCTTTCTTGCGACAGTTACAAGACCTGGTGTCGTTGTCACCTCCGTTGGCTTGTTTCTTGGGTCGTAGGATCGTGTTACCTTTAGTCTAGGGAAGTGTTTGGTCACTAGCTGGAGGAAGCGATGTCCGACGTCGGTGGCGACGTTCTTGCTAAACGGTGGATTGAACCATAATAATCATTATGATGTTCCGGTGGCGATTCCTTTTCTTCTTCTTTTTTTGTCTCGTCCGCTTTACACTCGTCAAAATACTGTACGTTCTCCTACCCGGTATGTTCCTGTAGATCGGAGTAGCATCTCTGAACATGTCTTCATCGTTGGAAATATCTGTGAGTCTTCTGCTGATCGATGCAGGCAGGTTCTGAACCTCTCTGTTTTGATGGCGGAGTTGACTAAAATTCTAACAATTACTAAGTCTTGTACTTGTACTTGTATTCTAACAAGACAGACAAGTACACTGTCTGCACATGTACATGTACATAATAGATATTAGCATCCTTTTTTTTCTCCTGCATCATACAGGGAAATGCCTCCGGATGGCTTACGCCGGTGCTGCCCCTGAAGCGCGAGGGGTATGATCTGTGGAGTACGGAATTGGTTGATCGATTGGTTTATTTTAATTCGCACAATAAACGGGAACTAGGCCCAATGGTATGAAGGCAAATGGATACCGTATTATCTCTAATATAAGCACGGTCCTTTATTTTTTCAATGTACCTCCGCCCCGTGCTATTAATGGAGACGTTCCTTTATTGGAGACTGTTCCATTATTATTTCAACCTCATTTCAGAGGCATGTTGCCATGCCAAATTCATGTATGACACACATTTCAGGGTTTTTTTCGCCGGTACAGATAATGGATTTACACAGTGTGCTTATAATGGAGACTGAGCACTTTATTTTTTGAATGCCGCCCCAACTTGTTCTATTATTGGAGACCGTGCTTATACTAGAGATAATACGGTAAGCAGAGTTTAGAAAAGAAAGGACAGGGATTTGAAATTAAATTTACGAAAGAAAAAGTATCTGACAGAGAAGTCAAGCGAGTATCAGGGGTGACAGGGTGGTCAAGGAGAGCTAGGGGCTATGGTAAGCAACTTATGCTGAACTTTTTATGTCTTTCGATGGTCCGAATATCATCCGGCAGCAGGTTCCACAGTGCAGATCCTGCAACGGACGGCCGAGAAGCGCCAGAGCGAGTGGAGGATGGCTGGCTGAAGACCCCTGCCACTGGACCTCGATGACGGGTTCTCCTGCCAGCAGGTCTGACGAACAGTCCAGACGACGTGGCACTAATTTTCCCGCCGCGGCGAATGCACCTCCAGACATACACTAGTACTACAGTAGTCCCTCTATAATCCGGCAACATTTGTGACAAGGGAAATCTGCTGGATTAGGGAGGGTGCTGGATTAACAAATCTGATTGACTGCCGCAATGTGCATGAAGAGGACATTTTGGCTACTGAAAATCGTGCTGGTTTATCGAGGGTGCTGGATTATAAAGTGCTGGATTAGAGAGGGACGACTGTAGTAGCTTGCGCTTGCTCAGTTCGCCTATCTCGTAGATCTACGAGCTGTGCTGCACCAGCAGGGGATGCACGGTGGTGCAGGGTGGGTGGCCGTCGATAGCTCGGATAGCTCTGTTCTGCAGCAGACCCAGGTGATCAAGCTGGCGACCAAGGAGCGCGGGGAAGAAGGCGTTACTGCCATAGATGATGTCAGGGATGACGACAGCCTGGACGAAGAGACGCCATGCAGATTGGGACAGGGAGTGACTGGCTCGCCACAGCGCACCAATCTTGGGCGTCCCAGGAAAGCTTACTATCCAGTACAACACCGAGGTACGTGGTAGTCAATGTTGTTGGAACGGCTACTCCACGACACAGGACAGTTACGAGAGGGTTGTCCACCTGTCGGTGAGGAAGAAAGGTCAGGGCTCGGCTTTTGGTAGGGTTGA